GCTTTCCTTTTTCCTAGGATGATGAGCTGAGTCACCTGTACACGCTGATCCTGAATCCAGATCAGACCTATGAGGTCAAGATTGACAATGAGAAGGTGGAATCTGGCAGTCTGGAGGACGACTGGGACTTCTTGCCTCCTAAGAAAATTAAGGACCCCGAAGCCAAGAAGCCAGAGGACTGGGATGACCGTGCTAAGATTGATGATGCTGATGACACCAAGCCTGAGGTTAGTAAGCTTTGTGTTGTAATTCAGCTGCCTTTGTTTTGCTGTAAAGTGTCATTTTGTCCATTGGAAATGCTGACAGGTGAAAGAGTGTTTATATTGACTGTTACTTAAACCATGAAATTATTTGTTACTCTTTAGGACTGGGACAAACCTGAAAACATTCCAGATCCTGATGCCAAAAAGCCTGAAGACTGGGATGAAGATATGGATGGAGAGTGGGAGCCACCCATGATCCCCAACCCAGACTACAAAGTAAACTAAATGTGGACATCGTGGTCTCGTCTGCTTGAGAAATTCTCACCATGACTTTCTGCTAATGAATTGCTGCTTGATAAATACTTTCTGTATTACAGGGAGAATGGAAACCCAAACAAATTGACAACCCCAACTACAAAGGGCCATGGGTGCATCCTGAGATTGACAATCCTGAATACAGCGCGGATTCGAACATCTACAAGTTTGACAACATTGGTGTTTTAGGTCTTGACCTTTGGCAGGTGAGAGAGAAAGAAATTTGAGTAGTAATGCCATTGTAATGCTGATGCTTAAACAGTCTAACACTTTTTGCTGTTTATCTCAGGTGAAATCTGGTACCATCTTTGACAACTTCCTGATCACGGATGATGTGAAGGAAGCAGAAGACATTGCGCAGGAGACATGGGGCGTGACAAAGGTATGTTTGTATTCTTTTTCAGCCATAATTTGTCATTTGTACAACACACAGAGGCCGTGCAGTAATATTGTAAATAGACTAAGAGACATGGTGATTATCTAAACTTTCCTTGCAGGAACCGGAGAAAAAAATGAAACAGGAACAAGATGACTTGAAACGAAAAGAAGAGGAGGAGAAGAACAAAGAACAAGACACTGAAGCTGATGAAGAGGAAGACCTGGATGAAGAGGAAGATGAGGACGAGGAAGAAGGAGAGGAAGAAATAAAAGATTTCGAGGAAGCAATTTCAGAAATGGATAACAAGGAAGCAAAGCCGGACCATACCGAGCTTTGAGAAGGTGTGGCCAGAGATATCCTCTGCCCCTCCTTCAGAAACTCTGTCCTGTTTTTTCCAGGGGTATTGTGGCTGCTGTGCATCCTTTCCCTGAGATTTGGACACAACCCAACTTGGGGGTCTAATGTAGTAAATGGGGGCAAGTGGGTGTTACTGGACTTGGTGTCTTTCATTTTGTTCAAGGTGTAACCCCTGAACTGCTGGTTTGATTCTAAGGTTTTCTACTGACAAAGTTCATTCCTCATTTTTTAATGACAGAGAATCGTTGGCACTGTCATTTGCTGTTTTCTTTTTCTTGTTTTTGTTTTATTTCCAGGATTGACACATCTGCTTTTTTTTTTACAGATTCCCTTTGTAGCTGCTTGTCAGTATACCTTGAAAACTAACTAAAAGCTGTGGTAAATATTTCTTTCAGCCTAGTGAAAGTAAAGTGCACGTAGCTCAGCATATAATGCATAAACCAAAAGACTTAACCTCCCAAAAATCTGAATCGAGACAAATCAAGACTAATGTATTGTCATTTATTTTTGGTTTAATGTCTGCAGCACTGACTATTTGTTTTCCATTTCACACCTTCAGAGCATAATCAGGTGAAATGTTCAGACATGAATAAATCCTAATCTACTTAAACAATGTTCTTTTTTTTTTTTTTTTTGTCATTGAATTGATTTCACTCAAACATGTCTCCAGAAAAATGTGATGGGACCTGCATTGTATCCTGAAAGTCTGGCCAAACAGATACTGAGCCCCTGATGTGACTGCTGTGAGGGTTACACAGTTATTTTTATTGGACAGAATGTTATTGATACCAAAGTTTTTATTAAAAGATTGATACCTTATTGTGTGGTCATATTTTGTACACTCACGCTTTGGAGGCACAATATATATCTTAAATGTAAATTACATTACTTCACACCCATTGTTTCATAAAGGTGGTTTTCTGAAGATGTTCTGGGTTCACAAAATGAAAGATTTCCATTAATGCTGTTCTAAACTGTTTTCACTTGTTAGTGCTAAATTTAATAAATTAATAGTTTATTTGAGTTAGTTTGCACACTTGATGACAGAAAAAAAAATAGAATAGAATATTTTTTATTAATCCCCCATTGGAGGAAATGTACATGCCACAGCAGCATCCAAAAAATATAAAAAAGAAAGTACTAGGAAATAATAATTAATAAAATAAGTATATACACAGGATGACCAAAAATATACTATTCAATGAAAAATATATATAGAAAGAATATTTATACTGAAAAAGAAACAGATTGTGCAAAAATTAATTAAAACCACGTGTTAATTTTTGTGTTTTTGGTTAACATCAGCCAGTGATGCTGATGTACAGTGCAGTTGGGAGGAATGACCTGCAGTAACAGTCCTTGCAGAGTAGACGCCTCAGTTTGCTGCTGAAGGAGCTACTTAAAGCCCCCACAGTCTCATGCAGGGGGTGAGAGGGGTTGTCCATGATGGATGTGAGCTTTGCTAACATCCTCTTCTCACCCAACCTCCTCTATGGAGTCCAGGAAGCAGTCCAGGACAGAACCGGCCCTCCTGACCACTCTGCTCAGAAGTGTTCAAATTTGTTTAACACATAGAACTGCAACAACCAATTTGGTAAAAGTATAGTTTATATTATCATGCAGTTGGTGCATATTTCTATGCAGTTTGCAGTACACCAAGGTACCACAGTGAACCTGGGGGTCTGGAGCAGTCGGCTGTCAGTAACTCAACCTTGCTGTTTCTAAATAGAACTACCTGATTTAATGTAGAAGCCAATATAAATATGAGGTTACAATGCTTAAAACAACAGTGAGGTGGATACAGGAGCATTTTGTGAGGAGTAAATGGGCCACATCAGTGCTCAGCGGTTAAGCCAGTTAGAATTACTACCACAATTCATTCCAATTAGCAGTCGGGAGCTGTAGTCAGCCCGGTCCTGGCCTGTAGTGACCGAGAGGCGGCACGCCCACCGGAACCCCCTCCTCCCATCTGTCGCCGCTCGTGCCCGCGCGCTTCAGGGGCGTACGCGCACTCCCGAGACACCAGGAAATATGGCGGCGCTCATGACTCTCAGTCAGGTAACAACTTCCCACAGCTCAAGAAAAGTCATCAATTTTTATATGGCTCTATATTTGGTGACAGTGACAGTCGTTATGTTCTGTCGCCACGTTACGACGTTGTAAGCTTGGGTGAATATTAGCCAGTGCGACGGCAATAACAAGCTTTCGTTGTCAACTAAGTTGACATGGTTAGCTAGGTTAAGTAAGGATAGCAAAGTTGCTCTGCGTTTTAATAGAAGTAGAAAGCTACTGGTAACACTTGCGACGGGGATGGTGATTGTAAAGACAAAACATGACAAACTAGAAGCTAAAAGTGAACAAAAATAAACAGTAATTAGCTTACCATTGCGATTAAGCGGTGTTTGCTTCCTACGGACTGATTGTATGGTGTGCAGACTGCTAACGTTACAATTAGCCATTTCTCGCTTTCTAGAGACTGTATTCGATGTATGTGAAGCTGCCATACACTTATTTGTACCGTAACCAGTGTTATATGTCTTTTCTGTCTTCTTCAGTTATCGAACGGAAACCCAGCCTATGAAAATCATTACAGACAGGTAGTAGCTCCAGCTGTTCCAGTTTTTGATATAGCCCATGTAATGTTATTTAATGAACACAATTATGTCTTCTGTATGCATTTTGTAATTTGTTTTTGATTCTTTGTAGTTGGATCCAGGAAACACAGGCAAAATATCAGCTGGGGATGCAGCTCAATTCCTTAAAAAGTCTGGCCTGTCAGACAGCACCCTGGGGAAGGTGGATCATGAAATCACCTACACAGATGCAGAAAATACTCTCATATCTTCAATCAATAGTATCTAAAGTGTGTTTTCTTGTTGTTTGCTTTTATTAGATTTGGGATTTGGCAGATTCAGAAAGAAAAGGCTATTTGGATAAACGGGTAACAAAGAATTTCCTTCTAAATTTGTCGTTATGGGAGATGCTGATGTATGCTTGAAAACGGTGGATTTGCTTTGCTTTCTTCCCCTTTTGTAGGGTTTCTTCATAGCTTTGAGGCTGGTGGCGTCAGCACAGGGTGGAAATGACATCAGTCTGAACAACCTCAACCAAAACTTAGCCGCACCTAAATTTGTAAGTGTTAAAATCACTCTCCTGACTATTATTATATCCAGTGAAGTGATAAGGAGCAGACTGTGACTTATAAGATATTAATGGACATTAAGTGCCGGAAAGTGATGAAGAAGTTGCATTTCTGACTGTCTTTTCCTCATCTTCATACAGTTCGTAAGTGTATTTTCTGCTCTGCTTGATCTTGTCTTATCTGCACTTTATTTTTTACAGAAAGACACAAACAGCCCGTTATTAGGTATTTCAATGCCATCAGCTGACTCACAATGGGCAATTAGGGTCAGTCAATGCAACTTTTCAAAAACATGGTTGAGGATATGAGAAAATCAAACATGTAACCTAAACCTAACCTTTATTTTTCCAGCCTGATGAAAAAGGGAAGTTTGAGGGAATTTTTGAGAGTCTGACCCCCGTAAACGGACTCCTCTCCGGTGATAAAGTCAGACCAATTTTGATAAACTCCAAACTACCTCTGGACGTGTTAGGGAAGGTAATGTACTATATTATACTGCACAGTCCTTTTTTACTCTGTAATTTTATGAATTCAGAGCAAACAAATTTTGAGCATTTACTCACTATTTTTGTAGATTTGGGACCTAAGCGATGTGGACAAAGATGGACACTTGGATAAAGAGGAATTCACAGTGGTAAGCTGGGGGTGTTTACTGAATTTATAAAGTGTCACTGCAGAGTCATTCTGTGAAAGCAGTACTGGATTTTATAATTAAGAGGATAGTACAGATTTAAAAACAAAATTAATAAATTATCTGATTTCCAATTTTCTAGGCCATGCATCTTGTGTATCGTGCCATGGAGAAGGAGCCTATTCCAACTAGCTTGCCTGCTTCCCTCATCCCTCCTGCTAAAAGGAAAAAGTCTGCGGTTGCGCTTCCAGGTGCTGTGGCTGTATTACCTGCTCTATCTGGTCTTACATCTGGGTCGGCTCCGTTCAAAGATACCCTGCGAAGCACTCCTCCTCTGAGCAGTGCTACTCCCCTCAGCACCAGTACTGTAAACCTTTCTCCAAAACACTCCTTTAAATCTAGCTCACAGGTATGTCTTCTCATACTACTTTTCTCTTGAAATATGAATGTAATCACTGTGACTAGAACTTATTAGTCTTTGAGGGATAAAGGGCTGGGTGTTGTGGATAAACATTCTATATATTTCTAAGTGTGGAATGTGTATGAAGTGTCACATAAAATTATCAGTGGGCTCATATAGGCAGCTGTGGCTCAGGTGATAGAGCGGGTTGTCCTCTGATCAAATGAATGCGTGTGTTTGTGAATGGGTGAATGAACATGTTGCAAAGCGCTTGAGATACCACTGAGGTAGAAAGGTGCTATATAAGTGCAGACCATTTACCATATATTGCATTACTGTAATCAACTTTTCTGTGTTACATCTAACAACCAACTCTTCATTCATACACTTGAATCGGAAATCATATTTTTACATATAATTTGCTCACCTGCTCAGAACAATTGAAGCAATTTTCCAAAAGTGTAGCACATTATTGCTTTATTGTTACAAAGATTTATTGTGAAAGCTGATAAATGCTAATATTGAGCTATCACCTAGCATGACTCAACTATAAAAGTGTTTATTTACCAAGTGTTTGGGTTGCAATTCTTGTATCCTAATGAGAGTGGAAACAAGCCTTACAGGGTGTTATGCATGCCATCCTGGGTATTTTCACACAGCTGCTGTATTGACTGGAATTAGATTTTTTTCTTTAAATTATGCGTGCATGATATATTGCGGTAAGTGTAAAGTCAGAATCTTACATTAGGATGCCACTTTCTGAATGTGACTAGTTATTTTCAAGTGGCATAAAATGTAAAACCCACAAAAAAAGTAAAAAAAAAAACATTCAACCCTCTAGGAACATACATGCATTTTTCCTTGCAACTCCCTAACGACATGTCACAGTGGCTGAGTCTTGAGTTTTAAAGACACCAGCATTTCATGTATTAGCTCTTTTCTGTTGCTCACGGTTGAACTTGTTTTACAACATTGTTCTGAGTATTATGCAAAGGCCAGTGTGACTTTCTCTACCATGATGTAGCTGGGATTTTTCACCCGTGACTTTTGGAGAAACAGGTTTCCTTGAAATGGAAGACAAGCAATGTTGTTCTGACACGTGTACCTTGATCACCTGATATGGCTGTCATGATGTGTTGTGTGTCCTTTCCTCAAACTTTAACTGTCATTTTATGTCTCCCCAAATTTCCTTTTTCTGTTTCTTGCCCGTAAAAATTAAACAGTCTATTTCATATTTTGTACGATTTATTTATTTCTGACTGAAATAATACTTAATATCCACCACATTTTTCCTGCATCTGTACTCTTCCCACCATCAATCACTATGGTTTTAATTTAAACTAGGATTTTGTAGAAGGCAGGTTTCAGTATTTGTGTGAATGTGTGTAATAGGTCAGTGAAAAATCCTCTTGCTGTTTGCAGTAAACAGATGATTGTCATACAATTGCATTTCCATCTGTGGTTTCTTAACTATATTGGACGTTGGCATTTATGGTAAATGTCTTCCTCATGGTCACCTAGTAAACATTGAGTTTTAATCTGTAAGTGTGTACATTCATAAATACCTTTTTATGTTAAACAATCAAAGCTGTCTTTCTTATGTGAACAGAACTGTGAGGTATGCAGGTGTCAGCTTCATCATTTCAAATCACTAAAACGTCTCTTTTTTTTCTTTCCCCTCTTTAGCCTGTGGTGAACTGGGTGGTACCGGTGGCTGACAGAGACAGATACAGTGATATTTTCAAGAAAACGGACACAGACGGCGATGGCCTCGTCACAGGCAGTGAGGTTATAGAGATCTTCATGCAGTCCACTCTCTCACAGACAATGCTGGCTCAGATATGGTAAGACCACAACTCAGTTCACTTCACAGACATTGTAATCATAACTGTCACAATACTTTTCATATTGACAATATTACAGTGCCCAAGAGAGCTAAACACACTGCAGCTTAAGAGGAAAACAACAAATTAAGAAATGCATTTAAATATTGGAAGTGTACAGCATAGATAGGCAAACTGCAAATCTCTTGCTCTTGTGCATTCTGTCGTTGCTCAATCAGATTAGGATATGGGGTGTTTGAAGGCCAGAGGGTTATACTACGAAGCGAGTTTGACATAGCTAGGCTTTCTTTGTGTAAGCCGAATGGACAAAACCGAAAGCCCCAGTCAGAGATTACGGATATCACGAAGGTGGTTGAAAACTTCATTTCTCAACTCAGGCTTTCTGCTTCAGACTCGGTGCATGTTCACATAAAAAGGGGCGTTTAACGCGTCACGTGACTCTTCGTCTGCACAAAATGAACCGATTGTGTGCAGCTGCTTCAGTCAACACGTTTTAATGGAGAACAATGGGGAATATATATATATTTTTAAAAATGCGACGGTATAAAGCACAGCTACTGCAAATGGTGCAAAACAGGAATGCTGGTAGAAAACTGTTGAACGTGTTCATATACAATATTTTACCGATCTATTTCCAACTTACAGCTGCACGTTAAACTTTAAACTTTATACATTTAAACATGATCTTGTATTGAAGTGCATTTAGGTCTGACACTGTCCCATAATGCAGGATATCACTTTATTGTTTGGCCCAATCAGAGCAAAATTAATGTTATTGATTGAATATTCTCTGTAATAAATACCAGTAGAATAATCCATTTCTCATCTGCAGTACCAGCAGTGTAAACGGACTTGACAGAAAATCAGAGCCAAACATAAAAACATATTTATGTGATTTTTGCATTGCCAGTCGTTGTGGTGGTATATGATATGTATTCGGCCGCAACCTAATCTGAACATAACATACTCCCGACCAGGTTAGCTCCACAGCATAAGTTACCGTGGAGATCTAGCCAGGTAAAAAGAGAGCCACCTTCGTGGTACTGAAAACTCTGGCTTTAAGCTCAACATACCTCACTAACCCACTAATCTCGCTTTGTGGTACAGCCCTCAGGTCAGCACCTTGAACTCTCAGTTGTGCTCCTCAAGCTGTGCCTGAACAGTTTTTGCTGAACAGTGACAGGGGGCGCTGTTCTCCTAGGGGAGGCTCCTGGGGTTGGGAAGTGCTGTTGCCATACAACAATGTTTTGGTGGATGACACATGTCAAAGTACAATCTGCATGAATGACAGGACACAAAGTTTTCTAGCAGAGCATTGTGTTGTAATGAGATGATCACTACTATTCACTTCATCATACGTCAGTGGTTTTATGTGTTTACTGTTTGGTGTATGTGGTCAAATCTGCAAGAGCGTTTCTTAATTATCGTACTGAATATATATACATATACATACAGTACCAGTCAAAAGTTTCAACACACCTTCTCATTCAGTGGTTTTTGTTTTCTACATTGCAGATTCATAGTAAAGACATCAAAACTATGAAAGAACAAATGTGGAATTATGTTGTGAACAAAAATAGTGTTAAACAAACCACATTATGTTTTATATTTTAAATTCTTTAAAGTAACTTCCTTTTGCTTTCATTTTGCACACTCTTGAGATTCTTTCAATCAGCTTCATGAACTCGTCTCCTGGATGGTTTTCCAGCAGTCTTGAAGGCAGTGGTAGCTGGTCAAAAGTGGGAGGGTCCAGGGCACACCGAACTGGGCCCGTGAGAAAATCTGCAGCTGCCAATCAGAGCTCAGGCCAAGGTCACATGATCCCGAAACGTTTTTTGAGCTACTTACACACTCATTTGGCCGTCGCCCTGCATCCAGGAAGTGCATCCAGCGCCCATGCGTCCCATATTGATCAGCCGCTACTGCTTGAAGGACTTCTCAGAGGTTCTGAGCACTTGTTGGCTGCTTTCACTTCACCCTGCGGCCCAACTCATCCTAAACCATCTCAATTGGGTTTAGGTCAGGTGATTGTGGAGGCCAGGTCATCTGACGCAGCACTCCATCACTTTCTGTCTTGGTCTAATAGCTCTTACATAGCCTGGAGGTGTGTTTTGGCTCATCATCTTGCTGGAAAACAAATAATGATCCCAGTAAGCACAAACCAGATGAGATGGCATGGGGCTGCAGAATGCTGTGGTGCCTTAAATTTAGAACAAATCACCAACAGCGTCACCAGCAAAGCCCTCCCACACCATCACACCTCCTCCTCCTCCAGGCTTTACAGTGGGAACCACACATGCAGAAACCATCTCTCACCTTCCCTGCGTCTCACAAAGACACGCCGATTGGACCTACCACACAAAAGTCCAAGTTTCCACTGGTCTAATGTCCATTCCTTGCGTTTCTTGGCCCAAACAATTCTCTTCTTGTTGTTGTTCATCCTCAGTTGTGGCTGAAGGCCGGATTCATACAGTCTCCTCTGAACAGCTGATGTTGAGATTTTCTGCTACTTGAACTCTGTGAAGATTTTAAGTGGGCTGTAATCTGAGGTGCTGTTAATTTGCGGTTTCTGCTGGTAACTCTAATGGACTTATCCTCTGCAGCAGAGATGACTCTTGGTCTTCCTTTCCTGCGGTGCTCCTCATGAGAGCCAGTCTCATCATAACGTTTGATGGTTTTTGTGACTGCATTTGAGGATACATTCAGAGTTCTTTAAATTTTCCGCATTGACTCACCTTCATGTCTTGAATTAATGATGGACTGGTATTTCTCTGTACTGAGTTGAGTGCATCGTGCCATACTGTGGATTACAACAGTCGTCAAATATGGCGATCCACTGTGTCCTAGCTCTACCTCTGCACAACACAACTGATGTTCTCAAACACATTAAGAAGACAAGTAATTCCACCAATTGATTTGAGAAGCTACACCTAATTGAAAAGCATTCTAGGAGACGAGTTCATGAAGCTGATTGAGAGAACGCCAGGAGTGTGCAAAGCTGTCATCAAAGTCAAAGGAGGCTACTTTAAAGAATTTATAATATAAAACATATTCTGGTTTGTTTAACACTTTTGTGTTAACAACATAATTCCATATGCGTTCTTTCATAGCTTTGATGTCTTCAGTATTAATCTACAACATAGAAAATAATTAAAATAAATAAAAACCATTGAATGAGAAGGTTTGTCCAAACTTTTGATTGATACTGTATATATATTTATTTATTTATCTCATGACAGTCTAAACCCTTACAATTCCTCTTAGAAAGGGGAACAAAAAAGTGAAATATACTTTTGAAACGGGTTTAAAACACACTGTACTACGTTTTGTTCTGTTTTTGTGTTTAGTTTCTTTTTTTTATCTATGATTTTGTGAGTATTATTTCTCAGAAAAGAATATATGTATATAATGTTTTGAGAAAAGAGTGCCCTCTTCTCTACAGGGGACTCGCCGACACCAAACAGACGGGAAAGCTGAGCAGCGAGCAGTTCTCTCTCGCCATGTATCTGATCCAACAAAAAGTTGCTAAGGGCGTAGATCCTCCCTCCACTCTCACTCCAGAAATGATCCCCCCATCAGAACGGACTGCAGCTTTGGGCCCTGTAAGTCCTGACTATATCCCACTGTAGCCACTGTTTCACATTGAAATAGCCCTATGTATTGAAATTCTTCCTTACTTGCAAAGTTAGGTTTTTCTTTTTTTTTTACTTGCACCTGTACCTTAAGATTCTGTTTCCCTGCTCCTATATGCGTTTTCAATGATGAGTTCTGCTTTGTGGCTTTCTGGGCTTCTAATGCATAACAGGTTTTTATGCTTTTGCTTTTTTGAGCACTTTTCTGTCCTGTCTAGCAGAGCTATGCAGGGCTCATGTCCTCTGTGAGACCAGAACTTGCTGCACTCGCAAATATGCGCAGAGTGAGTAGATGAGTTTGTGTCACAAGGTGGCGCCTTCTTTCCATCATATTCTCTGTCAGTTTGAAGCAGGTGCAAATAGGAACATAGTAAGAGTACTGCTGCCTGCTGCATCTTCATTATCAATGGCTTGTCACAACTAATGTTTCTGCAGCTATAGTATACTAACTTACTACTGTATGTTTATAATGTAAAACAAGCGATGTCGATTTTTTTTTAGTTATTAATGAATTTAGATTTTCAAAATTTTCAAGTGGTGGGTCAATCAGTGGTAAGCTTTTTATCTTTAAAGAAACCTCAAAACATGTTTAACCTGTGTGTATGTAAAGGCCCATTTCAGCTGGACAATCGAAACAGAAATTAGGCTGCAGCTTTATATTTAAAATGGTCTGAAAAGAGACAAATTATTAAAAACAAATCCATTAGTCTAGTTGAGCCTTATACGAGAATGATATTCTGCCCATTTTTGTTTACTATTAACAGACTGATGTTATAAATGAAGTCAAATCTGTTGAGCAAAAGTAGTTTTAGATGGTCATTTTGGTTGAAAACTATTGATGCTTTTAAAAACGATTAAGCACTAAAGGTTTCACAGTGCCTACAAATAAAAAGAGTTTTGGGATAGCCTGTTTTCATTCATTTGCCAAAGGCCTGTTGAACAGTTAACTTTCAGCCAAAATTAACTGTGGTGTTAAATTCTTTTGTATTGTCTTGTCTGTGTGCACTTCTTGTCATTCACATATTGTCTGGCTCACTTGCTCCCTCCCTAGCTGTGCGAGGTGTTTGTATTTCCTTCCTGTGATTTTTGTTTTGTTAGACACGACAGCAGGGAGCTCCTCTCTCCTTCTGCATACCACTCATGTCCTCTCTGCTCTCGCCCTTCATTTTGACCCCCTTTGCCTATTAGAACATTTTATTCATGTCTTTTCTGCACCCTTTCCCTAATTGCATCCATTTAATGCTCGTACCTGCTCCTGTCACTCTTGTTTCTCTGCTCACACCTCATGTCAACCTCACGTCATCCATAATACTCTTACCTAGTTCTCTGTTTCTCTCCCTTCATTCACTCGTCCATCTCAATGTCTCTTGCCTCAGGACAGTACCAGCTCCACAGGGTCGGCAGAGCTGACAGGCATCAAAGAGCTGGATGACCTCAGCCAGGAAATAGCTCAGCTGCAGAGGTGAGCCCCTACACCCCGAGTAGCAGGAGGACAGCTTTGTTTCTCTTCCTTTGAGAAAAAGGAGGGGAGGTTGCAGTGAAGTAATGTTGAAGATCAAAGCTCTTTTAAACTATTATCCTACTTGCAGACAGCAGACGTGCTATGTCGCGGGCCGACTTGACGTGCATTCTACTCAGCAGCTCTACCCCTGCTACTCATTGTTAACAGACTCCAGTCTGCATTGTACTTCAATACACACCACTGATAAACCTGAGAGTTACACTGAATTACATCAAATAATTTCTTTTAACTATTCATTTGCCCACGCATTGACTACTAAATATACTACATTTACCACAAGATGACATTTAAATACAGGGTCGGTTGTATATGACAATTAAAAAGGATTTCCAAATGCACTTTGATACAGTTTTGTCTTTTTAAGTATTGTATATTGGCTACATTTCCTTTGCCAGGGAGTAGTAATAAATTGTAATATTTCCACGCTTGTTCTTCCTCTGTGTTCACCTGTAGAGAGAAATTCATCCTGGAGCAAGAGATTAGGGAAAAGGAGGAATCCATCAGGCAACAAAACAGTGACGTTCAAGTAAGACGGAGTCAAAATATTTCTCAAGTCATCTGTTTAAGGTTGAAAATGTCAGTGAAATATTAACTCATGAGTGACAGTGAGTCTATGAAAAGAACAAGTAGCCAAGAATCAGAAATACTTTTAATGCCACCCAAATCACATAATCTGTAGGGGACCTCTGCAAACACTTGTCCATGTGTGTGTATGTGTTTGGCGGACCCTCAGGACATGCAGAATGACTTGGATAGAGAGAGCAGCAGCCTGCAGGACCTGGAGTCCCAGAAGCAGGATGCCCAGGAACGTCTGGAGGAGATGGATCAGCAACGCTCCAAACTCGAGGGGATGCTTAATGACGTGAAGCAGAAGTGCCAGGAGGAGACTCAGATGGTTAGTGACGGAAATCAGTCAAGCAACATGCATATAATATAAAACAAGAAATGTCACCGTATTTAGCTTCTGATGACATGAAAATCCACACGCAGCTGTCATCGCTATTGTGGTATCTTTTTTTGTTCAAGTGTGATCCGAGATATCAGGCCAGATGTTAACAGTCATGAAGTTACGATTTGTTTATAGAAAAGTTTGCAGATTATTGCTTTTTAACAGGGTCATCAATTGTAAACTTGAAGACTTTGAAAAATACGTCAAACAGATAACTGTATGGTTTTTGTCTTATTTGTTTTTTCTTTTTTGTAAAAGTAGGTATAATTAAGTCAGACAAATTTTAATTGCTCTGATCTCTACAAAAAAGCAAATCTAGACTAAATCTAATTAAGGGCTATAGTTTCTAAACACATATTAAAATACTGATCCTACAAATATACAACTTATCTCTTTATTTTGGCTCCCACCCTCCAGATTTCATCCCTGCAGAGCCAGATCCGCTCTCAGGAGACTGACCTACGTAGCCAGGAAGATGAACTGGGTCGCACCAAGGCTGATCTGAGTCGGCTGCAGGAGGAAGAGGCCCAGCTGGAACAGAACTTGCTCTCCGGTCGCGTCCAGCTGGACAGCATCATTAAGTCACTCAAAACCACCCAGGAGGAGATCAACCAGGTCAGTGCAGACAGAAAGACAACAGGTTACATGAGGATGTTGTGCCACTTTGCGCCATCACGCTCTCTGACCAAGTAAGGACTGTGTGGCATAAGGATTAGGTTGTAAAGTCAGAAACATTTCTGAATCAAATTAAACTGTGTATATTCAATCCTCATGCTGACACAGAGCTGAAAATGATTGCTGCTTTATGTCCCATCTGTGGAATTTTCACTTGTAATGTGTTTTCACAAGACAGCAATCTCACACTTGATAAGTTTCACTTTTACTTCTCTGACCACCATATTTAGCAAGTTTTGAGGTACGTTTAACACTGAAATGAAACTATTGCATCAAAGTGGTTAGGAAAGTGTCTTTTTTCAGCTTAACCACTTATCACCACTTTCATTCAATTTGCTAAGATTCACATGTTTTCCACAAATAAGAGGAGCCTGTTTTTTTCTTTTTTTTTAAACTGCAACCACAGGTAAATTTATAACATATTGTAATTCTGCAAAATAAATTACTGTTTACATAATGTTGTGCAAATTCTACCCTCACTTTAAATGCTTTTGAAATTGTGGCTTGAAATCATAGTGCCTTATCAATTTCTGTGAGATGGGAGAGTCTCCTATGTTGGACAGCCTAATGTGTAGATATCCTGTAGTTTAAACACTTCTATTTGTTTCTAGGCTCGCAGTAAGCTGTCGTTGATTCAGGACAGCCAAAAGGAGATGACCCAGACGATTGAGGAGTACAACAGCGCTTTGAGCGACATCAACGGGGGAAACTTTAGCAACCTGCCAGACTTAAGTGAAGGGTTCACTGAGAAGGAGAATGGAGGTTTCAGAAGTGCGGTGAGGAGATAATAAATTTCAGTGAAATATACCCCCTTTTTTTTCACCACAAAAGTTTAGCCTGGAACCCAGAAACTTGATTCACCTGTCCTCCTAATGACCCTGGTTCAGATTTTCTTTCCTACCCTCAACAAAGAAATTAAAGTCAATAAGGAAAATATCTCAAGCTCAGCAGTAGCATTTTTCATATTACCTTCTCCTAATTTACTTCTCCTGAAAACACAAATGTGCTCCTGAAGCATTTTTTGTTTTCCACTTTGTAGTCTCACATTTACAGTACTAGTCAAAGGTTTGGACACACCTTCTCATTCAATAGTTTTTGTTTATTTTAATTATTTTTCTACATTTTAGATTAGTACTGAAGACATCAGAACTATAAAAGAACACATATGGAATTATGTTGTGTAAAAGAAAAAGTGTTAAACAAATCAGAATATGTTTTATATATTAGATTCTTCAAAGTAGCCCTCTTTTGCTTTGATGGCAGCTTTGCACACTCTGGGCATTATCTCAGTCAGTTTCATGACGTAGTCTCCCGGAATGATTTTCCAACAGTCTTGAAGGACTTCCCAGAGGTTCTGAGCACTTGTTGGCTGCATTTCCTTTACTCTACGGTCCAACTCATCCCAAACCATCTCAGTTGGGTTTAGGTCAGGTGATTGTGGAGGCCAGGTCATCTGACGCAGCACTCCATCACTTTCCTTCTTGGTCTAATAGCTCTTACATAGCCTGGAGGTGTGTTTTGGCTCATTGTCTTGCTGGAAAACAAATGATAGTCCCAGTATGAACAAACCAAATGGGATGGTATGGGGCTGCAGAATGCTGTGGGAACCATGCTTGTTAAGTGTGCCTTGAGTTTAGAACAAATCACCAACAGCATCACCAGCAAAGCCCCCACGCACCATCACACCTCCTCCTCCAGGCTTTGCAGTGGAAACCACACATGCAGAAACCATCTCTCACCTTCTGTGCGTCTCACGAAGACAGGTGGTTGAAACCATATTCTCAAATTTGGACCCATCACATAAAAGTCCAAGTTTCCACTGGTCTAATGTCCAATACTTGTGTTTTTAGGCAAAAACAATGCTCTTCTTCTTCTTGTTCATCTTCAGTCGTGGCTTCTTTACATCAATTCGACCATGAAGGCCTGATTCATACAGTCTCCTCTGAACCGCTAATGTTGAGATTTTCTGCTACTTGAACTCTGTGAAGATTTTAAGTGGGCTCTAATCTGAGGTGCTGTTAATTTGCGGTTTCTTAGGCTGGTAACTCTAATGGACTTATCCTCTGCAGCAGAGATGACTCTTGGTCTTCCTTTCCTCCTCATGAGAGCCAGTCTCATCGTAACGTTTGATGGTTTTTGTGACTGCATTTGAGGATACATTCAAAGTTCTTTAAATTTTCCGCATTGACTGACCTTCATGTCTTGAATTAATGATGGACTGGTATTTCTCTGTACTGAGTTGAGTGGATGGTGCCATACTGTGGATTACAACAGTCGTCAAATATGGCGATCCACTGTGTCCTAACTGTACCTCTGCACAACACAACTGATGTTCTCAAACACATCAAGAAGGCAAGTAATTCCATCAATTGATTTGAGAAGCTACACCTGTTAATTGAAAACCATTCTAGGAGACGAGTTCATGAAGCTGATTGAGAGAACACCAGGAGTGTGCAAAGCTGTCATCAAAGTCAAAGGAGGCTACTTTCAAGAATTTATAATATAAAACATATTCTGGTTTGTTTAACACTTTTTTGTTTCCTACATAATTCCATATGTGTTCTTTCATAGTTTTGATGTCTTCAGTATTAATCTACAAAGTAGAACGGGTTTAAAATAAATAAAAACCATTGGATGAAAAGGTGTGTTCAAACATTTGACTGGTACTATATGTATATATATTTATTTATCTCATGTAAACACAGCCTGTAGTTTAGTTTTATTGAAAGTAGCCCAGTGTACATCCTCTGTCATGTCATGTTCTACTGTAGCAAAGCTATTGATAATTTAAAATGGTTGCTGAATGGACACATGCATTGATTTGTTGTTTTCTGCATCCATTCATCAGGATGACTCTTTTAAGTCAAAGATAGCCATGTTCAACAACAACAGCAGTGCTAAAGATCCTCCAGCAGACCCATTCCAGACAGAGGACCCCTTCAAGTCTGACCTCTTCAAAGGTCTGAATATCTTTTGATATATTTTTATGTACTCCCCATGTCTCTATAGGGACTAAGGCTATTTTCAGATGTTGCTTGTCGATAATCACCTGCATTAATTTTGTGTCCCTGTGAACGAGCATTTCTTGTTGAAGACAGTCTCGTCCTTTTCTAGATCCATTTGGAGGAGATCCTTTTAAAGAAAGTGATCCCTTCAAAGGTACTTCATCTGAAGACTTCTTTAAGAGGACTGACAAGTCAGACTTGTTTGGATCTGCAGACCCCTTTGGCAGAAAACCCACACCACCTGTCAAGGTATCAACACCCCCTTTTTTTTTAATCAGCACTGAACTGATACTTGTTTGGAGTGCTAATCATGGTTCTTTCATATGTAGTGTGATTGTTAGAAAACCAAATCTCTTTTGTTACAGTTGAAAATGAAGTATTTTTATCTATGCTAAATAACTTGCTATAGTTGCCAGTGCTGTAGAAACAAGCTCTGAAGTGTATTTACTGTTTTAGAAAAGCAAACCAAAAAGATTTCTGCTGGTTATGCTGATGCAGTCATTGTGTGTGTATTCTCACTCACTATATTTTTTTTTTCTCAGCCAAGTGCTTTCAGCAGTAGTGACCCTTTCTCATCAAACAGCCCAAAACCTACGGATTCAGGTACATTGCTGTTCACAAGCACCATGGGATGTCTACATATAGAGATGTTTTACTCTGGGTCTTAGTTTGAAGTGTAACAACTAACCTGAGGTACTGTTTGTTGGTGCCAGAACATCTAGTTGTTTCTGAGCTTCTTGCCTTTATATTATTTTGCAAATATCCCCAAAGTTTTTCAGTTAAGCTTCATTTGCCATATAGTAGCACATATGTTGGATGTTAAATTAAAAGACATTGATAGTGGTTCAATGCACTTATTTAGTCTTTTAGGATAAAGAAATGCTTTGCAGTCTATGTAATGAGACAGGTGAGTAAGAGAGGGACAAGCATATCAAAAAGTTCTAGACACACTGCCACATGCTGTCTGACTTGCAAAAACATTGTTATTGGTGGCATTTCGGTTTTACACCGTCATCATGCAAATGGAAGGTTTGAATCAGGCTTTCCTACAGCACATGAGCTGATGGATGTGAAGTTATATATTAAGATGTAAGTTGTATTTTTTTTAATCTTAATGCATTCATTCAGTCAAAAAGGTATGATGTGATGATACTAGAGTAACATGGTAACACACCGATGACTTTCTGTCACGTCAGCTTGTCACAAAAAAGCACAAATACATAGTCATCCCTGCACTAATAAGAGCAAATTTTCCATGCAGGTTTCCCAGAATATGACTCTATTAACAGACAGCTATGAGAGAACGCTCTAGTTGTGAAACTCATCTCAAAGAGTCGTTCTTAGCCGTTCTGGGTGACGTGTTAGATTTAGATTTTGTTTTGGAGGGCATCAGGGGCAAACAATTTTTACTCACTGTGGCTTCAAATTTTCCTGTGGTTTGGGGCTATTTTTAGTCCAGTACCTACGCATTTAACTACTGGCCGACTAAAAATACTCCCCCCTACCCTGGAAAAACAGGAGGCTAGCAGGAGCCAAACATAACAGAAACTCTGTGACTGCTGGTCCTTCTCTACTAGAATACACTGCCACTCCTTTAACCAGTTCACTCTTGCCTCTGTCCTGTCTTTATATCTGCTGGTATTGAACTGCGGTGCCTCATTCAGTACGGAAGTTGTTTTAAGTTAGTGCCTGCTGCTGGTCAATGCTCTGCCATGCTACACATGCTTAAGAAGAACACAGAGGCAACTGTAGACCTGAGCTGAGTTACTGTGCGTAAAAGAAAACACTGCGTACTGCACATGAATGGAGTCTTTTGTGGTTGCACACTCACAACAAACATATTCTGTTACAATGTTTTGTTTTTTCACTGTAACCATCTTCAGTTTGCTGTTTTTTTTCATTAAGTGGCATACCACTGAGCTTCAAAACAACCCAGGCACAGTTCTGGTTAACAGTACGCCAACTGACGTCTTTAATTAGCTGATCAGATGCATACGTCAGGTTGCACAAAACCTCTGCTTTACAGGTTTTCGCGAGATGTCATGGAAAATAAAACTGTCATGCCACCTTCCGTCTTCTGTGAATAGCACATGAGCCCTTTCGGAATAAGATGCAGACATTACTTTGTATGTGTGCTTCAGGGGTGAACTTGTTTATAGATTGTTGCTCTTTCCATAAATGTATTCAAATGTTCCAAATGTGTTTCAATGTACACTTGTCACAGATTTGTTCAGGAAGGTGGACCCCTTTGGAAGCAACTCTTTTGGAAGCAAGGATGGGGGATTTGCTGACTTTAGTCAGATGTCAAAAGTAAGCTATGGAGACTTTTTAAGTTGTGAAACACCATAAAGCATGATTTCTTATTACACCGTCGAAATCTAAGCTCTTAATTTTACCACAATCATCAGGTATTTCTTATTTTTATTCTAATTTATCACATTCATGGAAATGGTCTCTCTTGTATAAACCCAAAGGTTTGATATCTTGGCTGACCTACTGTTATTTTGTCCTGCCTATTTTGCACAATATTCAGCTTTTCCTTTCTTTTTCTGTTTCTGAGCAGAAGTCGGACAATTCTGTACTCCCATCGAAGAAAAATGTGCCTAACCGACCTGCACCTCCCTATGGTAATCCCTTATTTTATACGTTTGTGTGTGCGTATGTGTATGCATGTGTGTATGCACACTTGAACATGACTGTTTGCTACTCAACTTGACATCAGTGGTTCTGCGATACGCGTAAGTAGCATGTAATGTGTTCAAAGCAGTTGAAATCTGTACTGTTTATTTTGCCAGGGTTGTCCCTACAAGTTTTCTGCTCTCTTCACTGCTTTGTTTACTTTGTAAGGCAGCTGGATTCTCACGAGATTTGCAAGATCGTGATCACGAGAGAATCCATCCTGCCAGGCTTCAAGATATGCGCATGTGGCCGATCCACAGTTGGTCGGGCCAACCAGCATCCTATGAGTAACAGCTGGCAGCTATGGTCGTGCTTTAGGTGTGAGTTCACCCTTGATAGACGGTGATAGACAGATGGTTTATCCAGTCACCTGCCAAATATTTGTTAAAAGGGCCTCCCTTTTTGCAAACTGTTGCCAAAGACATCTTCTAAGATGGTTACATGTCACAAACCATCTGTCATGTCAGCTTAGCGCTTTGTAACTTGTCACGCAAATACAAATTCAACATTTTTGGGTAGTCGCTGTAATTGACGGTTGTTTTTGCTAAATGGAGTTTTAGTGCCTTAAAGGTACACAGATAAAAAAAACTATTTCCCTACTGAGCTGTGAATGGGCACAGAAGGTAATTTCTTCTTTTCACACTGTAAACAGGAAAGCTGTTTGTAGAGATATGGTGGTACTATGGGGTGCATGCGACCTTGTTGGCAAGAATAAGACATTAATTTAGGTCTGTCGTTAATGGTGGTCATAGCCAGTGTTGAGTTAAACGTGTCTATAGTGTGATGAGACTGAGAATTGCTTTCTCTTCATAGTGTATGTGTTTTGCCTTGTGTTCATCTTGTTTATTGTGTGCGTGTGAAGTCACACATTACCTACAGACCATGCCCAGGACATGCCCTTCCGCTGTGACCTTGCAGTTATTATTTTAGCAGAAGCCACAGCCTGAGAAAGTTGGTGTTCCCCTTTGCTTTTACCACACAGAACAGGGTCGAGATGAGTAGCTACGGTAAGCCAGCTTGTTGTAGAGCTGTGCCTCACTTATAATGGGGAAGTGAGAAGCCCACTGTATCACAAGGACAATTGCACAACTAATCTTGGTCTAGATAGAATGCTTAATTTTGCTGTTTGACTACAATTGTGTTTTAGCAATGTTTCAGGCATTCATTAACACCTATAACAACATTTTAGTGTTTGAACAGAGCTAGAATTGTAAACATAGATAATGAAAAATAATAGACTAAATTACTAGATTACATAATGAAGTCCCACAGTTTGCAGTCTATGCTGAAATATTGCACAAAGTTCCAGAGATAATTAATAATGACCAATAAGAGTACCATCATAATAGGAAATGGATTCAAAGCTCAAAGTAGACATGGGTGGGTCCCTCATTTACAAGGGTGGGTCCATCATTTACAAGAATATGTTCCAAAAAAGCAGCACTGTGCACGCTGAAGCTTCAATGCATCAGTGAGCTTTACTCAAAAAATGCGGTTAACACCTTTTTTTAAACCAGTATTGCTTTCCCGTGGGTGAATACTCTGTGCGTGCCTTGAGCTTAAAGCTGTTGGCTTCCTGTTAATATTTGGTGACACAGTATTGCACATTGGCCTTGTAAGTGTGATCGTATTTTCCCAGGGGGGCACCAGTTTTTGCATGTGAAGTGAAGATGCTAAGGCCATTTGGTTTGTATTTATTTCAATGTTTTCCCTCTCCAGTAGGTAAGCTCAGTTTGGGTGCATCAGAGCTGCTCCAGAACATTTGCTCCTCAGCAGACAATAAAGACTCTTTTGTTACAACACACTCAAGTAAAGCACCTAAAGACTGTCCGGTGGGTTTTGCAGAATTTGGCTCTGTAAGTGTAGCCTACTTACAGTTTTCTGTTGAGTCAAGTATCTTTGTCTGCATGAGCTGCTGACCTAATGATTTCACTCTTCAGACTGCTGAGCTGAAGGCTCAGTGGTGTCAGCTCTGTGACTGGCCCTCATTCTGTTAGTTTTCTTTTAGAAAGTGGCTTTAGCAAGCATTCACAGGACCATCGTGTTTACTGGCTGTTGACTGATAACTGACAAAACATCTGAGTGCTTTTAGAAGGCTTAGTGTAGAAGGAAATTAAATGTTTGCATGACTTACCTGAACAGTCCTTGCGCTTGTCTCTATTATGTCACGTTGCTCTGTCTACCTGGTAAAGGGGCTTGCATGCCTGTGGTCATTTCTAGCTTCAGCCTTTGACAGGAGGTGAGGATTTATAAACTTTTACTTATCAAGGTAGTAAACTTGCCTGGTCAGGTAGCAATCGAGAAGCATTTTTCAAGTCTTGAAGTGCAAGCTAGAGGCTTATTTGCTGTCAAAGCATGATATGCCTCGAAGCAGAGCACAACAGAGTAAATCTGCCTCTTTGTCTCCCGTCTTCCGCTTCTTTGCCATCTTGTATAGCCTAACGGCTGAGCGTGCTCTCAAGTGAAGAGATGATGCATGGCAGCTTTCTGTGTCTGGTTTGTATTATTTGACATGACATGAATTTATTTTATCCCTCATGCTAGCATGACTGTTGTGAAAGGGATTTGTGGGTTTTATATCGAGCTCTGTATTGTAATTTTTGTTTTTCTGCCAGGATCTGAACATGTCAAGGTAAGACTATATAAGGGTGTGGTGGTCAAACCTTTGCATGTGAAAAACCTGTCCGCACTGCAAAATCTGAATACGGTGATTCATGAGCACAATTATTTTCTATAAATATCCTTAGTCACATTGATCTAAGCGCAGAATGTGGGGAAACGTGACCAGTAATTTATGGCACTAGTATACCACTCTGAATTGTGGACATTTTTTTTTTCTTTAAATTTACTGTCTTTGCTTTTTTGTGATGTCAAAGTGAAATTGACTTGGCTCTATTTTTGCTTTTTTTTTAACTCCCAGTTTACTGCTACACATCAGATCATTTCAGTTTTGTTTAGTGTAATTTTTTATATTCCGTCCAATTCGCAGCACTTAATTTTAAATCCGCCGTTGTCCAGTCATTTCTCCTTCTGTGTGTTGACATCTGAGCATACAGCTACATTCCTGCCTCTCTTTTTTTTTTCTGTTGTCCAAATCTAATGTTTCTTTCCCTGCTCCAGTTTGGAAATGAGAGCCAGCAGTTGGAGTGGGCCAAGCGAGAGAGCGAGCGTGAGGAACAGGAGAGACTGAGAAAGCTGCGGCTTCAGGAACAGCAGGACCTGGAGCTGGCCATCGCTCTCAGCAGGGCCGACATGCCCGATGCCTGACCAGGCATGCCCCATCACAGCTTTTTGTCTCCTTCCGTCTGCCTCACAACCCTCCATTTGCCAGCCAATGACAACAGCACTGACACTGGCCCAACATGACTAGCAGCCCCTGTTACCAATTTGTGTTAGAGACCAATGTTTCTTCAGCTATGACTGGACACATGTAAAATGACTCCAAATATAGCAACTAGTTAAGGTTCATTGCTCCCAAACTACATGACAACTATAATCAGGGACAATACGGAGCCACTTGATTGAAGCCTGGCTTCATTATACAAGTACATAGCGATTTATCGCAACCCAAACCAGCAGGGTACTTGACTGCAACCTTTATCTAGCTACATGTCTTGTTATGCCTAGTCAACCTACCTTGTTCCAAAGCCTGTCTGCTGAAGATAAAATAACCTTTGAATAATATTTTACAGTTGTATTTATATACAAAAGCAAGGAATCTGTGGTGTATGAAGTAAAGTGCACTCTAAAACTGTTTTATATAACCTTTCATTACTTAGAAAAATTCATATTGAAAGTCAAACTATACACGCTAACTACTGTGTTTGCCTATGATTTAGTTTGTCCAATAGCAAATGCTTTTTTTCTCTTTTCTTTTTTTAAAGAAACCTCTTTTGTGTACTGTAAATATTGTTCTATGTACAAGCCTTGGATAAGCAGAGTGTATCCTTACAAAAGAAGTCTGTCTTTAAGAACTGCAGCATAATGATCAGATTATCAATGGCATGATTTAGACTGCAAATGTTACAAGTGTTTCCAGCTTTTATATCTACTATTTATGGCATTTAAAGTGCATGAATTGAAGAAATCTAGGAATATTATCTGAACCCTTAAGATGCTAGTGATAATCATTAAGGTCTTCCTCCCATATGAACAAAGTTCTGCCCACCTGGAGCGCTGTTCACCACCCTCTGATGTCAGCAGCTTGTGTTTGTCAGATAGTTCATCATTGGTTGCCTTGTTGTGACACCCAAGCAACTTGCACTCCCATACAACTAAAAGCCTCTATAAAATGGAAAAGTGTAAACCTTCATTGAGTATACTGGTGCTGTTACACTTTGCGTCGTCGTTTTACTTCTTTAACTATTATTCACACTACCAACAATGCACAGTGACATGTGCTTCCAACTTTTTTTGCTTTTCTCTCAACAACCAAATCCTGTTGGATATTTTTTCCTGTGGATTTTTGTTTTTGTTCATTATTGTCTGATGATCCAGTTGGAGGACATTTCTTCAAATGCCTTAAAATATTGTATTATTGTAATTACACTAATCAGGTTTTTCGGCACATAATGGATGCACTGTATATTCCAGAGCTTACTGGACACATACAGAGTGACAGCGCCTTATTTATCAACATATCAACACTGTAACATGTTATATTGCACATTCTGTATGTCATTTTAAGAACATCCTGGAGTTTTGAGTTGCTCAAAACTGTAACAACTTTCAATTGAATAAAAGTGATTTTTAACATTCCTGGAACAAGGTAAGTCTGGTGTCTTAAATGTTATAACCACAACCACAGAAAAAAAAAGATTTGTTTGATTGCAGAAATAATGTATTAATTTTATAATATAGGATTATTACACTGTAGGGGCCCCAAACAACAGCAGCACATGTTATGAAGGAAGTACTTTCACTACTCTTGCACTGCTTCTTTTCAAAACTATTATTTTTAAAGATGGCACAGGGGATTTAGGATGGATTGTAAATATATCTTAGAGTTCTGTGTTGATATTGAAAAAAGAAAAGTGAAATGAGAGTGCTATATTTGCATCTGCCAGGGCAGATATTTTTGACCTGGTGCTTACTTCTTCTTTTTAGAAATATGATAAACTCTAGTGTCTTGATCAACACATCTAAGTCACATGTTGTACGTACATTTTATTGTTAGAGGTGAATCTGTGATAGAAGACAAGTGGAAGTGATTGATACCATTTTTCAGTAATTCTGTTGTTTTATCAAATTATGTTTAAGTTCTAAAATAGGCATGAAAGAAATATTCTATCTTTTCAGATATGCCATCTGGTTTTGATATATTCTCTCAATGCAGCCTTTGATGCGGGAGAAACATGCTCCCTGACACCACACAGGCACGATACGCACGGACTTGGATACTTTGAAACTGTAGTGCAGAGTGACTGTGTGTAATTGTAGTATTAAGGCCCTTTCATGTCCTACTATAATTTTTACCCATCAGAAAGGGAGTCTAAGGACTCCCTGATGAGGGTTTGCTGTGCCCCTCTGTCCAGACGGCTCCTGGCTCACTCTGTAATTATGGAAATGGAGTGTTTGTATTTATAGGCTAAGCCCACAAGCGGCTGCCCTTCTCGGTCTTGCAGCTGCAAAACATCACAGTGGAAATCAAGTGCCCATGTTTTCCAATCTGAGTATACAATTGCAAGATGTATAACTTATTTAGTGTAACTGATCTGATAATCTTCAGGTCTGCTGCACCTATTTTCAAGCACAGTTATGAAACCTTTGCTGAGTGGGTGGATGTGGTTAATTCAATTAGATGTGTGAACAAGATGTATCTGGAAAGAATAAGCATGTATTAAAAAGTAGTTCCCCAGTCAAACGTTCAGTTCTGTTCTTTTTAATATTTACAATAAATACACATTTTACAGTATAAAATCCATGTACTTATTTATATAAATTTAAGTAAAAAATAATGCACAGGACATCAAGCCCTGATAGTGTACAGAGGGGCTGGATCCGAGAGTTTCACACCAAGAAGACAACAGTTCCAAATCGGAAAAAAAGCATAAAAAATAAAACAGTAAAGGCCATTCAGACATTGAGGCAGTTTAAATAAAACATTGTCTTTGCACATGTTTGGCAACTGTATGTGCATTTTACTCCTGTCACCAAGAACATGTACAAATGTGTGGCCATGTCGTTCTGTCACAGAGTTTTACAGTAGCAGAGTCATAGAAAGGCACTTTTGTGTCAAACACAGCATTCCAGTTCTGTCAAAGAAGAGTAGTATATACAGGGCCAGCCCCTTCTTGGTCTTCCTGCTCGAAAGCAAAGCTTTTCTAAAGCTTTATAGAACCAAAGTAGTACCAGCTACGTTATTAGAAAATAATAACACTAAAACTTTTTAAATTCAATATTATATAAAAAGACTTTGGTCATGATGAGAACATTTTAAATAAAAATACAGTTGAATCACAATAAAAATAACCCATCATCCCTCTCAACCCCAAGTCCTTATGTGGGCTCCTTCACATGTGTCTCTTCATGTGAAGCGCCAGGTGGTCAGACCTGGAGAAGGCGCGCTCACACAAGTGGCACTGGAAGGGCCTGTGTCCGGTGTGCTTGCGGAAATGACGGGTCAGCTCGTCTGAGCGGGCGAATTTCCACCCACAGCCTTCCCAGCTGCAGTGGTACGGCTTCTCACCTACGTGGACAGAACATAGGAATTTATTAGCGTTTGCTGAGAGAGGAAACATGTTTCAGAACACCGTGCAGTCCTGTGCGTAATTACGCACAAATCTGGTTGCATGTATCGTGATATATACGAGCTCAAACTTACCGGTGTGAGTTCGGAGATGTGCCTTCAGGTGGGAGCTCTTGGTGTAAGTTTTTCCGCAGCCAGCGAAGGTGCAGGTGTGCGTCGCTGTGCGCTTCCGTGGCCACGTGCGCCGACCTCTTTTGGGTTTGGACTCCAACAGCTCAAGGGGAGATGAGGGTGGTGTCAGCATCACCCTCTGCGCGCCGGGCTGCAGGTTGAGACCTTCATCATACAAGCCAAAGCCAGTGTGCGGAGCGTGGTACGGCATCTGCATGTGGGGAGCCTGAGGGTGGTGCTGGAAAGCCGCTGGTGTGTGATATTTCTGAGGAAAGTTCATCGGCTGGCACAGCTGTGTCTGGCAGTCCGAAACTCCCTGGTCATCGGGACTTAGAGGTGGGGTCATGTTGCTGGCTGCCCGGGGAGAGATGGCCACCCGTGGCTGCTCAAACGACATCATGCACGAAACGTTGCCTTCTTGCTTGATTTTGCTGCAGCTCTGGGGCACCATGCCCAAAACGGGGCCGTAGCTGTCCATTGGTGGCTCCACTTTGATGTTGTCCGGGCGAGGAAAATGCGCCGTGTTGACATAAAATCTCCCCTGAACGCTGGGGTTGCGCGTAATGCCATAGTTGCTGGTTCCCTCTGCGCGGAGCAGCTCTGTCATGAGACTGGCGCCGTACGGGGGTGGCGGGGAGCGGTGGTCGTCTGCTGGGTAGGATGGCACGGAGTTTCCAGCTGAGTACATGTTGGGGTCTGTTGTTCCCACATAGTCCACCGTGCTGTCGGATCCAGTTGTGTTGGCGAGAATAAAATCCAGATCCAAATAATTACTCAGATCCTCGTCGTCCTTTCTGCCGTGATTGTCCAAGTTGTGTACCATTTCAAGCATGGAGCAGCTGGTAGAGACGAGTTTGTCCATCTCTCCTTTCCACCTCTGCAGGAATAAAGAGATATTGAGACGTAATGAATAAAAAGTTGTTGAAAACGACTGGATGTGACACTGCGGATGCCATTCAATTTTTTAAAATATTTCAGTCTAAAACTAAGTTCTCAATATAATAAAAATAGCTCTTGCTTTTTTCCCCCCTTCTTCTTTTAGATAAATTAGTTTTAAAAGCTCCACAAGCTATTGCTATTGTTATTCTAATCGGAATACGTGAAACAAAGCGACACAAATCTATCCGATTCACACATATTAACAGACTTTGAAGCACAAGAAAACTGCAAACTTACGTTTTCCCAGTTTTTTTCTCTTTGGTTTGTGAATGTCGAAAATGACGGTAGCGTGGATAAGGCCATCGTTCGGTGAAATAATGATCTATCTCTTGTCAAAGTGTGTCGAGCGGCAGCCGCGCCGGAGTCTGTGCGCCTATTTCACTGTCGCCTCTCCACAGCTGAGGTCCAAACACATGAACAAATTTAAAAGTGGTAGGAGGTCCTCCAAACCTTATAACTCTCTAAGCCGAGTGCGTCTGGCCAATTGTGAGAGCTCAGGAAACAACGTAAAGTTCGGTAAATTTAGCTCTTTATAAAGCGCTACTCCGGGCGACCGGCTAGAAGTCAGCGTATGAGAGACGAGCTGCGCAGCGCTGCCTATAAAGCGCAGGACCTCCCCCCACCGCCTGACGCAGGCGCTCAGCAGAGCTGGAAAAAAAAAAAGTTGCAAAGCAAATTACAAACACACGAGCCGTATAGCAACCATAGATACTTACGTAATACGCAGAAAAGAACAAGCTTAATGACAGAAACTGCTGGAGGCCAAGCCGCATCCAACAACTTAATATAAAGGCTGTCAGTGCTCCAGTTAATCATCGCGACACAAAGGAGATATGGCTGTTTTGATGAGCAGTAATAAAATCTAATTGAATTCGGAGTGGTGGGTCAAACTCTGGGAAGAAACACACAGAAATACGAAATGTTCTTAATAAAAGGCAGACATTTCTGTACAGTGACTGTTTATGACGCACACATCACAAAAAATTATATATTGGATGCTACTTTATATTTTTGCCTTTTTTTTCCTATGCGATTGCATCATTTAATTGCAAGGCTCAAAAATATCTGTTTTCTATGTTTGTTTTATTATTATTATCATTATTATTATTACAACGAGAAAAACTACAAAACCACTTTATTTCAAACCTTTAAATTGGTGTAAGAGAGAGCATAATTGCAAAAATGACGCAGGTTCTTGGTATTTTAAAAGTCGTTCATACAGATGTTGCTGCATCCACCTGCTCGGCGCGTCTCGGCTCTTTGTCATTCATGGAGGATGGTTTTGTTCGCTCACAGTAGGCTTGTCCAAACAGGCGCCAGGGTCGTCTGAAACAGGTTTTCGGAGCTTTTTTGCGCTTAACCTTTCGTGATGTAAACACGATTTAAGGTAACTGTCCCATTCAGGTGTAAATGACAGACTTGGGGGAGGCTGCGGTGTCGATTGGGGTCAAATTTACATCACAAATCATCCTGCGCGCTTGTTGCCGTTTCTGTTGAGAGATCTGGTTTCTGACATGAAGACAGCGGGGTTGTTTCCTCAGCAGGAATCCTCTGACTCCACAGGTCAACAAGCCAAACACCGTGTATCTCGGTGATTTTATGATAACCCTTGTACCCAGCGACGCATCACTTGCGCGATAAAGAATATCAAGGGTCACACAAATCTGAATTTATACAAGAAACCAGATCTCAGTTATGGAGCATAATCAAAGACAGCTTGATTCCACACGTTTTCACAAATCTTACACTGAGTTGTTAAAGCAGTGTTCAGAGTTTTTAGTTATTCCCACAGTGGGAACATTTTGAAGTACAGGTTTGGAGTGAAAATGTATTGAAATTAAAGCACATAATGATAATTTGCAGGATGCACTTACTATGCAAGCAGCAGACTGACACAGTCAGCCTTACACTAAGTATTGCTAAGCTAACTATTGTTGATGCTTTCACCGCTATGCGGCCATTTATCTGGTTGTGGGGCTAATTTTAAAATGTTATGTACTGCTGGGTAGTTTAATTTAGTTAATAGATGTTACATATCTTTATCTGCCAAATGACTGTCTATGAAAGTTATCAGTCAGAGAAATGTCATGGAATAAAAGGCACAAAGCTTCCTTCTGAAATGTTGTAAAGTAAAAGTGTAAAGTAAATTTCCTCAGAATGCTACTGAGGTGTAGAATTTATGAAATTACTTTCCACAAGTACCAAGTAGGAACAACTACACATGTTATCATTTAATCTCAAACCCCAAAGACAGAGAGAGAGAGAGAGAGAGAGAGAGAGAGAGAGAGAGACCTTCTGCAGCAGGTAAAATGAAGAGTGTAAAAGTCCCTGTTGTGATGATGTCCTGAGCAAACTCAGACCAGCTCAGCTCGTCATGACAGATTCATCACCTATCATCAGGCTGTCATGTCCACCATCACCAGTAAACTCTGTCAGTGCAGCTGTGAGGTTTCCACATCCTGATCCCTGATCTGCGTTGTGAGTTCAGTGGAAAGTGCGTCACACAGAAGGAGTCCAGTAAGGCCAGAGAGGAAACGTGTTTTTAGTGGCAGCAGAGCTGCCGGCCTGATGCCTGAACTCCTGACCACTGACTCTGACCCCTGCTCTATGCTGCAACCCTCCTCTGCTTTGCTACTAGTGAGAGTAAGAGCACTCTCACTTCCCCTCTTGCTCCGCTACCTACGCCTTGCAATGCTGCAAAGTTTGAATTTAGGAAAACTAGTCCACTGAACTCTTGGTTATCATATCTCACAGTTTACTTGCAGAAACCCTCTCCAAGATCAGGGTCATAAGGTCGTGTTGGAGGTTCTCACCTGTTGAGTTACAGTCATTGCTCAAGATGTAAAACCAGGATACCAAAACAGAGCATCACATTGGTACCATTTGACAACAACCTTTTTATGACTTCACTGATCTGAAATGCTTTCGTCCATAGCGACTTACATTTTTGTCTTATATTTTAGGGAAATGCTCAGGTTAGATTAGAGTATTAATACCTTTTTTTATAGCTGTATGCTCATTTTTAAGAAACAACCAGGACAGTTTTCTTAGCCTAGTACAAAGGCTTGAAATGGGTAGAAAAGCAGACTGACACTTTCTAAAGTTAACAAAATCTGACAACTAACACCTCTAATGTGCTCTATTTAACACTTTTTTTAGTCGAACATATAATAAGTAAGCAACAAGTTAACCTATTCGTTGTAGACACCCTGAACTGAGGCACAGCTGCTGATTTCATGTTCACACAACCACTTGTTCAAGAGCTGAAATGGCTTAGGCCTAAATTTTGAAATATCTTAAATCAAGCCACCGCATCAGAATATTTCATCCATTTAGTAGTTTTTAATCTCAAAGTATAACAGATCAAACTTTACTTCTTGTTTTGTCGGGCTTTGTTGTCGTTCCAGTCTATCCATTGAACTTTGTGATGCAATCAGATCTGGTTAGCAGGAACCGTGTGAAGGTTTTAAAAGACAACATGCACCTGGTGGATTGAAATGTCAGCCAGACGTGACTGAAACATTTGCACTTGAGCAGCACAAAACCTGTGAAACTGCACACAGTGTGCTCTGCTCTGTAAAGGCCAGCAAAGGGATAAGAAAGGCAAAAAAGTAGCTGGCAGGTCTGGTGGGAGCACTCACTAATTGGCATGACGTTTAAGAGACAGGTTTGTATTTCATTCTAATCCGTCACTTCCTGTGGAGAAGTGTACATACCCGATGAGAGAATTTCATTTGAGCAAATGTTCGGAGTCTCACATGAGATGGGCGGGACACTCTTCTGACTGCAGCCCTCATAAAAACATTTGTCTGTAGGGGCTGCCGTGAAGGAGATTTATATGAAGATCATAAATAAATGTGAGTCCTACTACTGAGTCCTGTACGGGGAAATTCCCCGTTTGCTTTTCTCCTCTACACAAAGGTCAGAGGTCAGACACCGGACAGACACCTTGGAGCTGGTAGGGATTCAGTGTAATCTTCAGATTCTTGACCCTGTATCCTTGATTCAAAACGCCGTCTCCCAACCTGCTGTCCCATGTGACCAGCACATTCAACTTTCTCTGCAGAAGAGGAACCACTGAAATCAGTCGAAACAAGTGTCGAATGTAGATTAGCAACATTTCCAGAGAAGCTTCTGAAAATCTCTTTCCCTGAATTGAGATTTACACAATAGTTTTACCATTGGGCAAGCGGCGTGCCATTTCACAATTGTAAAGCATGCACCATTGGTGCTGCTGTCTTGTCTGTACTGTTTAGTTACCACGTTATCAACAAGTTGTCAAGTTGTTAACGAGTCATGAAGCTGTTGAGATGTTGTTACATTAGCGAAACTAATTCCTCAAAATATTCCGTTTTCCTCATGCACCTCTTCTTACAAAAACTTTCCCATGAATGACTTCAAGAGTCATGTTGAGAATTTTAGGTATTCTGTTCTGTTCTGTTCTGTTCTATCAAGATCATTTTGAGATGTCTCTCTTTTTGTCCTTAACATGAAATACAACATTGGTTCTGCAAGCCAGAAAAAAAGGTATTTAAGAAAGAAGCTACTTGTCCCACTGCACACAAACAGAAACTAAAGGGCTCTATCAAACCGCAAAGGGGTGTTTTTTGTTTCTGTTTTTGTTTTAAATTGAAACAAAAAAGAAAAAAATGAGAGTACAGTCACTGACTGTCAACAGACAATACAGATACACAACGGTGTATCAATATCATCACCGTGCTTTCACCTCATCCTTTAACTTACACATTTATGCCGTACATGTTTTATCAGAGTTCAGTGGTTCAGTGACAGTCGAAAAGCAGGCGACCTTTCAATCTCCTAAAATATCAAGTTTTTGACAAAACACCTTGATGTTTAAAATGTTTATGAAGTGAATATTTATAATTGTGTATTTGTCTACAAACATCTGCAGTACAAATGTATGTCTCATGTTCTCCATGATGAAACCTCATGTCGTCACTTACAAGTTGTTATTGGGCTGTTCAAATTAGTGACATGAATGCAGGCATGCATCATGTCTGTGTCAGGTCTGTAAGTGCTTCATCACTGTGGTGAGGATTTGGACACATCACCTCTGCCTCATGTGGCGTACTCCGCTAATGTCCATGGAAAAACAGTGTGTAAGTGTGAGAGGCAGTGGCGGGCCTGCACAGAACGTCCTGACTGAGTGAGAGTCAGTGAGAGTTTGAGAGTGAGTGGGATCCTGCTCCGGGCTTATATAGCCCAGTTATTTTTAACCACCCACCCCTTTGCTTATTACAGCGTTTCCCCCCCAGAACACTCAGGAAGCACGTTTGGCTCCTTTTCCTGCTCACATGCGGCCAGATTCAAACAGAATCAAAGAATGATAGCATTGAGGCTCTCCACCCCCCTGTTGGAAAAAGAAGGGGGAGGTTGACAAGGGGGGAGAGAAATGTTTAGCAGAAAAGGTTGGCACGCGCCAACAGCATGACATTCACAGAGCTGGCTCCAGTCCTGCTCCAATTTCAGAAACCCTCAAACATTTGTTAGAAAAACAGTACAGGGACAGTCCCGGACACACATTTGTACCTGCTTGGAGTGTTCACCAAGGTTTGTAT